GGATGGATGGATGGATGGATGGATGGATGGATGATAGATTTCTTAACCATCTAATCACACCACTAGCCCCCAGGCCTGTGTCACTTGTGTCACTGTTACTCACCATGAAACTTCTTATCAAGAATCATCTGTGATAATTTCCTTTCCACATCAGCCTAAAATCAAAGCACATGATTAAAGGGATAGTATCCATTAGTTAGGGGCCACCCAGACACAAAGGCTCTGTAGAAAGGGTCTCAAGGAAATAAACTGAAAACAAAATAGGAACAGTGTAACTCCAGCAACTGAGCCCATGTTCCCTGCTCCCCACTGAGCAGTGTGGGAGCCCCAATAACCCCATCAGGTACAAATTCCAGCCCCCACCCCCAGAAGGCTTCTGAATTTCTTACCTTGGAGAGTTTGATGAGGCTAGATATGTGTTCAATCTAAAAGAAAAGGCAGAGACACCAACACTGAAAGTTTTACTTTTGCCTCCAACATGGGGGAGGGGGGTGTGCTGAGTCTGTCCAATGTCTCATCTCCTCTCTGGCTGTGCTTAGGTCTCCTGTGTTGTCACTTGTCTGCCTTACCTCACTCCACACAACACCCTCTCTACCCCATGTGCCTGAGACACAGAGTATTTACCACATGCAGTGACTAAGAAAGCAAGGCAAAGATAGCACTCGCAACACAAGCAGAGGCCATTTGTTACGGTCTGTGTCTAGTTGTTCCCCAAAGATATCACGCAGTCACTGGGGTGGGCTTCTAGAGTTTGTGAGTAGCTCATGATCCAATGTGGGGATCATGGGTGTTAGTGCTACATGCCCTTGGAGGGAGACAGACTGACATGCAATATAAGGGAGAGGCTTGCTTTCTACTGCCACTGTTCCTGCCTTTTTGTTGCTGCTGTTTTGCTGGTTTTCGCCACCATGGACTGCTGCTCTCCGTCATGTGCCACTCTGCCTAGGAGCCAGCTGAGTATGTAATGAAACCTCCACTAAATGTGAGCTCGGTAAAACTGTCCTTCTTTTTTTAAATTTACAACAAGGTGTACAGGGTCTCGCTGCATAGATCAGACTTGTAGTAATCTGCCTGTTTACAGCCTCCCAAGAGCTGGGATTACAGGTGTGCGCCACCACGCCTAGTCTCAATCACTTACTGAGCGTGCCCCAGGAGTAGGGCCAGCATAGCAGGCCCAGGGATTGAACCCCTGCCTGCAGGCACTTTAATCCACTGAGCTATTTGGCTGGCCCCCCTTTCTTAATTTGGGGTGTTGGGTATTTTGTCCCAGGAATGAGAGAAAAGTAACTGAGACATTATCTCACAAGTCCCTACCTCGCAGGCACCTTCTCTTCCACTCATTTCCTTCAAGATGAACCAAGCCCTAGGTGGCTTCCTGCTCATGAGGCATACCCTTGGAAATAAGCTCCTATTTAGGACAGATGTGAAAAATGAGGTGGCTCTAATGAGAATGCATGGCCAGAAACAGCTCGAGTCCCAGAAGGGTTCTTACCTGTACTCGGGAAAAAGGCTCAATGACTCGGATCAGGTTCTGTTCCAGTAAGTTATCATACAACTTGGCCAAGTGTGTGCTGATGATTGGGTCATCCCGGAGCTCTGCCCTGTAATCTGTCAAGGCCTGCAAAAGAGCCAGCAGCACAGATTGGCACAAAAGAAACTAAAGGCACCCCCCCTCCCCCGTGGTTAATGAAGGCATGTGAGATTGGAAGAGATGAAAGAAAAGCGAAGATGGAGTAGAGAATAGAAGAAACGTCAGATAGGCTTAGTGGTACACACCCACAATCCTAGCACTTAAGGAGGCTAAGGCAGGGGCTAGAGTTTGAGATGACAATGAGTTACATAACAAAATCCCATGGGGGGGGAGCAGAAGGGGGAAGATGAGAAAAGACAAAGGAAGAAAGAAGAGAAACAAAGAAAAGGAAAAACGAATGTTAAGAACTAAAAAGAACCATCTTTCTGCACGAGAACCTCATATCAACAATTCACATCACCTAAACCACAAGACCAACTCCACTGGCAAACCAGATTAACTATATAAACAGTATTTTAAAAATTTCCAGGTTAGGGGCCGGGGAGATGGCTCAATGGAATAAGCGCTTCCCTGGCAAGCGAAGGGCCTGAGTTCAATCCCTGGTTCCGCCAAAAAAAAAAAAAAAAATTAAAAAATAAAAATAAAAATTTCCAGGTTAAACCAGATGATGTGGTGGTGTACATCTTAACAGTGTGGTCACATATAATTATAATCCCAGCTCCCAGGAGGATGAGGCAGAAAGATCATGCTTCTTGACTGCCATGAATTCAAGGCCAGGCTGAACTACACAGTGAGATCCGATTTCAAAATACAAAAAGGGACGAAAAACAAATTCTGAGTTTAAAGGGAAATGCTGAATTCCACAACTGGATTTTAGAGGAGTTTTGTAAGAAATATGAGTAATACTATAGGTCTGCAATACAAAGAAAAGTATCCAATTTTGTTTGGTCACACTATTTCCCAAATACATAATCACAGAACCTTGTTTCCAGGCCGGGGAGATAGCTCAGTGGAATAAATGCTTGCCCAGCAAGTGCAAGGTCCTGAGTTCGATCCCTGGCACCATCAAAAAAAAAAAAAAAAACAACCTTATTTCCAAGGAACCATGTAGAACAAAAAATTTTTAAAAGTCAGGTATAGTGGCATTTGCCTATAATCCTAGCATTTGGGAAACTGAGGCAGGAGGATCACTGCAGATTCAAAGCCAGCCTAGACTAGAGTGAGACCCTATCTCAAAGCACCCCCACCCAAAAAAGGGGGTTCAAACATGCGAAATTTGGGGATAAAATCACTTATGCCCTATTCATGTGTATCAATTATTTACCTTAAATAACAGTCTCAATACACCAATGGCTATGCTATGGAGTTTAAAAAAAAAAAAAAAAACAAAAAAACCAGACAAATCATGCCAAGTAAGGGCAAGAGGATCAGTAAGGACCTGCATCAATAATTTTGGGGATGGTGAGAGCCACAGTCTCCATCCATACTGTTTTTCCTTCTGGATCTAGGTTTTCTTTAGTAAAAACTAAAAGGAGACATCCAGAAAAGAATATACACAAACCTCATCCTAAATATTAGAAAAGTGCTGCTTCCTTTTTTTTCCATTTATGTATTTAGTACAGGGCCTCACTCTGCACCTCACTTGGGCTCATAGTGATCCTCCTGTTTTCAGCCTCCCCAGCGCTGGGATTACAGGCGTGCGCCACCATGACCGGGCTCAGAGGGGGCAGGGCCGCCATGGCATTCGGGACTGGGCATCAAACCTGGGTCCCTGAGCTTGCCCAAGCAGGTGCTTAGTCTGCTGAGCTATCTCACTGGCCCATGCTTCCCTTTTTGAAACTTCCCAAATAATGAACAAAAGGCACAAGAGTCCAAGAAAGTGTACAATACCACCCTGAGAAAGTTTCATTCAGGCCAAATGGGCACATCAGGGCACATCCTGGTTATTCACAGAGAAGGAGCAGACCTGGACTTTCTGGGGCTGAGGGAATACCTAAGACAGTTCTGGGGGAAAAAGCCCTAGGCCCCAGGTTAAACCATGATATAAATTACTGCATGACTCTTGGCATGCTCCAGATTTCCAGCTCCCTCAACCACAAAATGAAGATAACAGCTTTGTCATTAAAAGCCTGAACTTCTGTTTCAAGTTTTTAAAACAGAACATTACATATAAATAATATAATCTAGATCAATTCAACAACTTTTACTGTATGAAATTGTTTATTTCCTGGTTTTGATATGCTATCTTTTTTATTTTTTATTCTTTTATGTATTTAGTACAGGGTCTACAGAGTCTCGCTATACAGATCAGACTTGTAGTGATCCTCCTGTTTTCAGCCTCCCAAGTACTGGGATTACAGACATGCGGCACCATGCCCAGTCTCAGTTTTCTCAGCATGCCCTCAAGGTGGGGCACCTGGTGCTTTACAACTGTTTGTGAAACTATAAATATCTGTAAATGTCCCCTTCTACCCATTCCACACCAACCCAGTACCATGCTCACCTTTTCAAAATCCGCCAGTGATCTGTTCTTGCTAGCCTGAGCCACACATTTCAATGCTTCTGTCTGAGATTAAAGAGACAACTTATGAACATGATCTATTCTGCATGCTCACACCTACAAAGTCTCATAAACAGTACGTTATATCCACACAACTTCTGCTATAAAGAATAACCCACCCCAACATCATTCTTCTTTGGAGGCCTGGGAAGAAAAGGTACAAGTATTAAATATCACCTTATACTTTACAATTGGAAATATACTACTAGGAAATAAACATTTTCCAAAAAGATACACCCTGCTGGACATAAGGGCACATGACTATAATCCCAGTACTTGGGAGGTTGAGGCAGAAGAATATCAAGTTCAAGGCTAGGCTGGACTACTCTGTAAGACCCTGACTCAAAACTACAATCAAAACCAAACAAGTACATAAACCAAAACTACTGCAACAGAGTATTCTCTGTGCTGCCTGGCAAGTGCAATCACCTGAGTTCAATTGCTGGTACCAAGGAGAAAAACAAATCACAACCAGAGATGACAAGCTAAAATGGTAAAATGACAAAAGAACTGCAATTTCTTTCCCGTTCCTCCAAAACTCACTTCTACCCACCTAACTCCTTCTTGACCTCAAACTGATTATACCTACCTGTTTTTGTTTCATTTTGGTTTTTTCTGAGTTAGCATCTCACTATGTAGCCCAGGCTGGCCTTGAGTTTGCATCAATCCTCCCACCTCAGCTTCCCAAGTGCTGGGATTACAGGTGTATACCAGTGATTTTATCAGGATTCATTCTTCGAGGTATAATACAAAGCACTGAACAAGGCCTACTTTTATTAGAGTTCAGTTATTAATGTTCTACATATTACACTTAAATGATAAACCCTACAGTGTCAAAGGTACAATCAATAGCTAAGAGCAACTTCTAACCTCATTATAAAAGAAACTGGGGGCCTCAGAGACAGCTCAGTGATCTAAGTGCCTGCTTAGGCAAGCTCAGGGACAAGGGTTCAATGCCCAGCACCACAAGCCACTCCAGCCCTGCCCCTGGACACAGTGAGCTGGCCACCAAGACTGGGCGTGGTGGTGCACGCCTGTAATCCTAGCTCTGGAGAGGCTGAAAACAGGAGGATCACTATGAGTCCAAGCTGCATAGTGAGAACCTGTACCAAATATATGACACCTGCCCAAGCTATCAAGTCTCCATTCTGCAAGAAATCTGTAACACCCATATTTCTAGATCAGCCTGACTCTTACTTAAAAGCAGTCATCAAAGTACAAAGGAAGGGCCAGGGAGATGGCTCAGCAGAATAAGTGCTTCCCTGGCAAGCACAAAGGCCGGAGTTCAATCTCTGGTTCCGCCAGAAAAAAAGTACAAAGGATCACAGAGAAATCCTCAGACTGAGGAGAAAGGATCATTGTGAATTTGAGACCAGCTAGGACACAGTGAGCTCAAGGACAACCAACTTCATAAAAAAAAAGAGATTCTCTATGCTAGCCTACATACTTAAATAAGGATGGTACGTCTTATACAACAGACTAACTGGTGCAAAGCTATCATGAACACAAGTCTGTGCCCAGCATTTGCCTTACAGACAGAACAATCATGAGAGAAGTCTGGAACTTACAACCCCTTTCAAGTATACCTTGATCATTTATTACCTATCTGACCCTCTCCTGGACACTTGGCCTATCTGAGCCCATCTAGTTCTTATAATAGCAATATACCTTTTATAGTAATAACCAGGGGGCCAGGAAGATAGCTCAGTAGAATAAGCACTTGCCTGGCAAGCACAGGGTCCTGAGTTCAATCCCCAGTACCGCAAAAAAAAAAAAAAAAAAAAGTAATAACCAGTCTTTTCAAGGTCCAAGCTAAGAGCCAACTTGAAATTTTTGCTCATGTACAGCAAATAAGGGCCACTTGTGGAGAAGAAATCATCTGATGTGGCCATTCCAACAAAAATATACAGATGTTCCTTGTTTAATGACCAAGTTAAGGCCCTCAGACTAAGTCGTAAAATAGCTTGGTCACTAAATGAAGAATTGTATATAATAGGTACAGTACTAAAAACAAAGAAATGGTCAAAGGAAACGCCAACCTTGTGACTTTACTTTTATTCACACAGCTCTTACATGCAGTACTACAATATATAACATAAAACATTACAATACCACACAATACAAAGACTAAAGTACTATATAAAAGTAGATTGTACCAAAAAAGAAAAAAACAAAAACAAAACAAAACAAAACAACAACAACAAAAAAAAAAAAAAAAAAACCAACACTCTATAAAAAAAATATACAGAATGGTATTTAAAAAAAAAAAAAAAAAAAAAAGGGCCAAGGATGTAGTTCAGTGGCACAGCACCTGACTGGCAAGTGCAAGGTCCTGAGTTCAATTCCCAGTACTAAAACAAAAATAAAAATAAAATAAAAACAGAACGATGGGTCATAAGTCCACCCGGTGCACCTCAGTCCTAAGTCCAAACAGTTGTTATACAGGTAGGTCTTTAAACTAGGAATGCCTTGTTGTGAAATGGCCAATGAGCCTGTTGTTTAGAGACAACTGCCTTTGATATCCAGAAATGAGTACTATGACAATCACCCCAAGTACAAAAAAGAGAATGGTACAGACATCTAGGACATCTTTACAAAGTCACAACTATTTACTCTCAAAAAGCAGACCTGCAAAAAATAAAACATAGTTGTGGTGATACACATCTGTAATCCCAGCACCCAGGAGGAGGCTGAGGCACGAAAATTGTCTCAAGTTCAAGGACAGCCCAGACTACACAGTGAATTCAAGGCCAACCTAACTACACAGTGAGACCTTACCTCAAAAAAAAGCAAAACAAAAAGTCACACTCACTCATACTCATGCATTAAGGTATGATACAAGGGGAAATCAGGTATCAGGGCCATAATACCTCAGTGGTAGAGTACTCACCCAGTACATGTGAGCCTTCAAGTGCAATCACCAATGGGAGAGGGGGGGACATGCTACCAATCAGCAAGGGCTTCCTTTTACACCACACCTACAACTCCAGGCACCAGTGGAAAGGTACTGAACTGAGAAGCACTCAGATGAGACTTAAAATCTGATTTATATACCAAGTAATCCAACCACCCTAAAGCACATATGTACCACACCTAAACCTGCTCCTGACTGAGGATCCAAGATGCCATATTCTGCACATATTAAATTTGCCCATGGCAGACAGAGCTTCTGACAAAGCTAAATGTACAGTAAATCACTGCAATATTACAGTGTAGTTCTCAGTTCTGAGTCCCTCAAACCATCTGATGTCCAAACAGACTTTCAAGGCCAAGAACTGAACAAGAGCCAGGAAACTACTTTCTTTTTTTTTTTTTTTTTTAATTGGCAGAACTGGGGATTGAACTCAGGCCCTTGCACTTGCCAGGCAAGCACTTATTCTACTGAGCCATCTCCCCAGCCCCTATTTTCTCCTCTTCAGAACTTGGTGGAGTTCTGTGTACACCTTGACAACCTGTC